TGTGTGTGTGTGTGTGTGTGTGTGTGTGTGTGAGCAAGTGTGTGGAAGGCTGGGGAGGGAGTGAGAAGATGCGTCCGGCAGAGTGCAGCTTACCAGGCTGAGGGAGCTGTTTTGTGCTCCAGCTTTTGATTTCCCTTTCCTTTCACAGACAGGGCCGAATGCTAGCCGTGTGACAGCTCGTGCCAGCGTGGCCTGTCACCACCACAGCCCGATGACGTCACAGTGAGCGGTGTTCTGTGAGCTCTGCAGGGCGGACTCAACCAGAGATGAGCCTGGTGTGACAATCACCCCATCTTCCCAATACGGGAGCGGCCTGCTCCAGCCCAGGGGCCCAAGGGAGGACAGAGCTCACGGCATCCCCTTATCCCTGGGACGGCTCTACAAGGCCTCTATAAGGCCCAGGGCCTCCCCGGCCTGCCCCTGCCCTGAGGTGGCAATGCTGAGTGAAGGGGAGCCATTCTGTCCCCACCCTGGGGAGCTGGGGGTAGGGGTGTGGGACCAGCCCTGCTCTGGCAGCAAATGGGTCAGGAACCATCTTCAGAACCGTGTGGTTTCTGGACCTGACCTGCATGAGCAAGGGCCTCTCGCTTCACCGCCTCCCCGGCCACCGTGATCCCTGAGTCATCTGCCCTGCCTGCCTCCCTGCCTCGTCACTGGGGTCTTAGCGAAGGGCCGGAGGGGCTGGGGTACCAAAGGTTTGCTCGGCTTTAGGGGTGATCTGCTTTCATTTCTTTGGTGCTACAATAACAACAATAAAAATTAAAAACAAAAAAGTCAGCAAAACACATATAAAAAAGATATCAGAGATGCAAATACTTCCTGAAGAATCAAACATCAACAATTACAAATCTGAGGTATTTCAATGAACCTGACATCAGCAGGTTTGGGGATGTTGGGGCTGAGGTGACCCCATGAGAAGGGAGGGCCCGAGGGACAAGTGGGCTGTTCCTGGAGAGGTGGCCAAAAGGGCGAGTGAGAGCGTGAGGTTTGGGAGGGCCAGAAAAGGGTCAGTGTGAAAGCGGGTGCCAGGGCCTGCCTGGGCAGCCCCCTGAGGCTCTGCCTCTCCCTCAGCAGGTACCCAGTAAGCTCTGGGGCCTGAGGACTGCCCTCGTGTGCCCTTTCTTGGGGCCATTAAAAGAGGGACATGGGGCCCTGAGGATAGCTTCGAGACTTGAATATGAGGGACCCACACCCCTGGAACCAAACATGGTAGGTGAGGTGGGTAGGAGGGCCCCATCCCATGCTCAGCGGAGAAAGGCCATGAAGGCATTGTCTTGGCCCCTAGCAGCCCCAACATGGGAGTTAAAGACTGAAGGGCTGAGCAGGGGAAGAGGCCAGTGACCCCAGGGTCACGGCAGAAAGCAGGGGAAGGGAAATAAATTAAGGGGAAGGGCTCTGGAGGGCCTCCAGCCCTGTGCCGGCTTACAGATTGTCGATACACTGTGCCCGGGACGGGAGGTGGCCTGGGAACCCCGGAGGAAGCTGGCTGCCCACAGACCCCGCCCAGTTCTCCAGCACAATCCCTGATTGGACAACGCTGCCCTGTCCTGCCCCTGCAGCCTCTCCCTGTCCCCAGAGTACAGCAGGACCCGAACGGAGCCCGGACAGACGGACATGTCCAAACTCTCAACATCTGGCCACATGGTGTTTGACGTGGGCTCCGTGAGATGAGGTAAATTCTGTGCATCAACCTCCTTCACTCTCGACAGGAGAGCGGGGCACGGGGAGCTGGGTCCTGCCCCTCAGAGGGACCAGCTGGTGGAGGGCTCCGCGCTGGGGGTGCCCCGGGACGAGGTAGGACTGGCTGAGCAGTGAGAGCTGCCGCTGCCGCTGCCGCCCATGCTCTGGGCGGCAGACCCTGCGATGAGGTGGACCACGGGCTTCTGGGCAAACAGCACACCTGCGGGGGAGGGGGGGAACGAGCGTGAGCAAAGAGTCTCGGGCAGCTGCACTCTGTTCCCGCTACGGGTGCCCAGCCCTGTATAAGGCTCCGTTCCAGACACCATGCTGGCCGCTGACCGGAGTCCTGAATACCATCTGGCCTCAGGTGCTGACAGGCTGGCCAGGGGGCAGAAACGTAAACCATGATTTTTGAGGAGATGTAACCAGTGCTCTGCGAGCACTGCTCCCTCCTCCGGGGGCTTGTGGGAACAAAGAGAAGGTGGTGGAAGGCAGGGGCAAGCTGGTCAGGAAAGGCTCGGGGGGAGAGCATGCCTGGGCTATCAGAGCGGCCAAAGGAAGAGCCAGAGCAGGGAGGTGGCAATGTGTTGGAGGCTGGCATGGCAGGTGAGGCTGGACAGATGGGAAGATGAGGAAAGGGAGGCCTGTGTGCCTCTTAGGAGGCAGGTTTTACCCTGCGTGGGTCGTGAAGGCCCTGGAGCTTTTAGGAAGGGGAAGGACACGATAAGATGGGTTTTAAAATGCTCTCCACGGGGCTGGGAGGAACAGGGGCGACAGAGGCCCACAAGGAAAGAGGCCCAAACCAGGGCAGCGGGGCTGTGGGGTGGCAGAAAAGGGGAGAGAGCAGAGGCGTGGGGTCTGTCAGCTCTCGTGGTGAGGACAGAGGTGAGGGGCTCTTGGGAACGACTTGCCAGTTCCTGGCCTGTGAGACGTGCACGCCCACCAAGAAAGGGCACAGGTGGGACAAGGGTGATGCAGGTGAGGTCTGGGGTGCCTTCACCTCCCTTCTGACTGCTCCCCATGTTGTGAGGAGGCGTTATCTCCCACTTTCCAGACACTGATCTCGTCCTTCCCTGCTTTCTCCATGGACCCACCCCCAGCCCCCAATCCTCTTAGACCATCAAGATGGCAAAGGGCACCTAGGCCCTGCCTGTTGTCTCGCCTGGTCTCGAGAGGCCCCCTGTGTCAGGCTGAGACTTCTCAATGTGGCCTCCAAAGCACCAGTCATGTGGTGACCGGCAAGGTGATGTGGCATCGCTGCTTCTCTGTAGGCTGCTTCCAGGAACTCCGTCCCTTCCCTGGCTGCAACCCTGATGCTGGCAGCTGGTGGCCGGCAGAGCCAGAGCGTGAGGCCCGCAGGGTGGCGCCGCCAGAACAGGAGCACCAGTTTGATGGAAGGTGTACCTTTAAAGCCCCTCCTCTGGACCCCTCGGGCTCTCTGGCCCCCACGCAGCAAGCCGTGCTTACTAGTAAGACTTGGTGGGGCTTGTTCCCAAACACCCCTAAACCAAAGAAATGGGAGCGGGAAAAGGACTGGTTTCCAGCAATTGAAAAGACTTGGTAGAGATGCTAACCCAACCAGCCAACAAACTACTGCCCAAGTAGACTGAGAGCAATAACTTTAAAGGACTGGGTGGAATCGTAAAAACAGGCGGATTTCTGCTGCACTCAGATTCCTTTGCCTGCGTGTCACTCCTTGGTCCATTTTAAAGAAAGGGAATGACAGGCAATGTCTAGGGAGAGTGGAGCTGAACCATTCCAAGGTGCCCTGTGTGCCACAGGTCCATGATGGCAAACGCGATGCTTAAGGCATGGGCACGGACGGGATTATGATGCTTCGCGCTTAAGTGCTGGGTGCAATTAGCGACTCAACCGTTGGTCCAAAAGGGTTAGATGAAGGGTCTCCACCATTCTGTTGAAGGTGGGGGGGATCCGTCATCCTGCTGGCAATCCTCAGCCTCTCCCAGTCTGGAAAACCACTTAACCTTTGGAACCTCGAGACTACATACAAGAGAGCCACCCCTGGGAAGCTGTTCAGATTGGAGGGTGACAGGAGGGGCCCTGGCTGTGGGCCTTCCTCGGGTCTCCCAGAGCCTCACCTGCGTAGGTGGTGCCATCGATGTCCACGGACATGTTGATGCTCCCGATGCTGCCTGTGGCCAGGTTCAGCGCTGCGGCCGAGGCCTCTGTTCTGTCTTCTGCTAGGGACAAGGGAGACAGCGGGCCTGATTAGGACTTCCAACACTGCAGTGTCCTCTCCGAGGCTCTCCCACTCTCCCGGACTGACCAGAGCAGGTGAGGCCTCCCACTGTTCTAGAAAGTATCTGGATAACCTTCCCCTGAGCGTAAGGTCAGGCAGCAGGAGAACCCAGGCTTGCCAAGGTCCTATCGCTGGCTTTCTCTGTTCCCTGCTTAGCCACTCACTTCCCCCATTCCCTCTGTGATCCACGAAAGGGATCACAGGCTGCAAAGACTGACCTTGGCTCACAGCTGTGCACCGCCACTTTCAGTGTTTCAGCAAATGCTAACTAAGCATCCACTATCCATCAGGCTGGGGAACCAGAGACCAGCAAGCCCCAGTCCCTGCCTCTGAGGACTTGCCCTTAACCTCTTCTTGCCCTTAACCGGGCTGGGTGGTCCTCAGGTAGAGGGTCTACCTGCACAGCATGTGGCCCGGCACCTGGCACCCATCTCCACCTGACCACCTGGGGTCTGTAGAGAACTGTAGGCTCTGGCTCTGCCTGGTTCACCCTACACTCTGCCCTTTCATCACGCAACCAAGTACTTCTTCCGGGTGAGCTGCTTTGCTATTAGTGTCTGGCTTGTGCAGGTAACAGAGCAGAGCCCTGTCGTCTGGGCTGTCGCCCCCAGCGTCCTGCTCCTCACCTGGGGACAGTGGGGCAGGGAGTGCTGCCCTCGAATGCACACAGCTCCCTTCACACCTGACTTCCCACCACATGCTGGCTGAAGTTTGTTCTGAGACAGAATCGGGGCAAGAATGGCCAAGAAAATGTGGGGGGTGGGGGGAGAGGAGAAAGGAACAAGGGGCATGGAGTGTGTGATTCAGGAGTCCAGAAGGTAGGGCACCTGAAAAATGAGGAAGGGAAGGGAAAGATGTCAATTATGCTGCCAAACTGGTATTTCCTCTTTCCTCTGTAAGGGTCACAGGCAGCCTGGCCCCTCCCGGAGGCTCCTGGAGGCTCAGAATGGAGATGCCATCTTCCGCCCAGATCTACATCCGGGGAGGTACCAGGGTGAAGGCTGAGCCCTTTAATTTAGACAGATCAAAAGGCTGGTGAGGAAGAGAAACACAGCAGCTGTGCCCGAAGGTCTCTGGCTCCTCCCCCTTGAACAAATGCTTTTCTTTTCTGACAGAGAACAGGGCATTGCCTGCGGCAGTTTTTAGTCAGCTTGGTGAAGGAAAAGCCCCGTGTGGCTTTCTGGCCTTGACACCCTTCCGGGTACCCGGAGGGCAGAACCCGGAGGGGCCCCCACCCCAGTCCTGGGGCGTGGTGGGCCCGAGTGGAGCTGGGAGGAGGGCCCTCAGCAGGAGGGCAGGGAGTGGAGAGTGGAGTCGGAGGAGGCGCTCACCCCTGCCGTTGATCCTGATCTTCATGGGCAGCTGGCGCGCCATGCTCAACAGGCTGCGCTGGAAGGCCTGCTGCACCAGGCGCTGCTCCTCCTCCGACAGCCGGGAGGCCTTCTTCTCCGGGGGCTCCCCTGACTCCAGCCGCTCCCGCAGCTGCTCCAGCGCGGCCGTCCGGGGCCCGGCCTGCTGGCCTGCCAAGGTCACGGGCACAGCCAGGCGGTTTGGCACAGGCACCGTCGTCACTGGGACTCCATCACCTGGCAAAGGCACCAGAGCTGCACAGACCTCGTACCTGACGACGGGCTCTCCCACTCCCTCCCTGTCCCCCTCCTCCCCCCCTCCCTGGCCCCTGCAGACCTTTCCTGAGAGTGGTTGCTGGGGATATCCGAGGGCTGCTGGCATTGGCGCCACTGCTGGAGCCCAGCCCGAGGATGGGGAAGCGGATCTTGGGTGGGGAGAGCAGGGCGGGGGCCCCGGCGGTGGCAGCAGTGGCAGCAGCAGGCGAGTAGCCAAAGAGGGAGGAGCTGTAGCTGGGCCGCCGGCCCTCCCGCCGGTTGCCGTCGATGGCTGCCTGGAGCTCGGCCGGGGAGCTCAAGGCTTTTTTCTCACACTCGTAGGCATAGAGATACTTCATGTACCTGGAGGAGAGGAAGCAAGCAAGGAGAATAATCCAAAACGGCTCCAGACGCCGCCCAGTGTAAGTTTCTGGGTCTCTGTGGGGCAGGCCTCTAGGACACAGGGTCACTTGGCAGAAGAGAAAGGTCCAGGGCCCGCCAGCTGCTACTCAACCCTGTCCTGATCTCTGCTCCACTCAGAGGCACCATTCTTTCAGGGAAATAAAGCACATCTCCACTCATGTTCATGTGTGTTTTGGTGCTGTGTTAGTACCCTGGGAGAAAGGTTTTGCAATGCCTTCCTGGCTCCTGGGACGTCCTAACCATTCTGAGTCATGCTGCTCGGATAGGAGTGATTTGTCCCACTGTGCGTGGACCCAGAAGTGCTGTCCGTCCTTGCATCAGATGTCCTAAGAGCCTCAAGAGAATAACCGCTGTACTGGTTACAGTGCTGTCCCTGACTCCTGCTGGAAGAGTTCCAAAGATAAAGCCCTCCCACTTCTCAACAAGGCTGTGACGTACTGACTCACAGATGCTCATTCCATATTCTTCAGAGAGCAACATCCAGCATGCTCCAAAGAATCGATGCCCCTCAGGCTACTCTTGGTTCCCCTGCTCCTGTTACCCTCGGAATCAGTTCACATGGTTGCAAAAACGGGTCCCACATCCCGGTCCTCTGTGGCCGGGCGCGCAGAATGTCAGGCAGGAAGGGCTAAGGCTTAGGGTGGGGGTGTGTGGGGGAGACGATGTCCTGGAAGGAGTGGATGCAGGGCCAGAAGCCCAGGGGTGAATCTCAGCTCAACTGTGATCTCTGAGACTCAGTTTTTGTTTTCTGAAAAATGGCATAACACCTACTTCACGGAGTTAATGGTGAGGCCCGAAAGAAAGAGAATGGCAAAGTAGCCTAGGAACATTCTTGGGAAATGGTGGCTCTCATCCTTACTTAGGTCTAGAGAGGGACTCCTCTCAGAAAGCTCCTGGCTGCGTTGGGAATTCCTCTCATCTTGCTCACTGTACAGTGGAATTTCCTTCCTTCCTTCCTCTCCTCTAGGTTAAAACATCCCTGTTCTCCAGCCTCAGCTTCCTTTCCCTAGGGCCCTGGCCACTCACTGGGTCCTCAGGGTAAAGGCGGCGCTGGTGATCGATGTGGGCAGGTTCAGGCCTTTGGTGATCTCCCGCCAGATTTTTTTGTTGATGATCTCCACCAGGCCCCCCTTCTCCGTCACCAGCTTATACAGCATATATAGGTCCAGGATCTGCTTGGCCATGATGGGGATTCGGTTGATGGGAGTCCCTGTGATTGTCCAAATAGAGAAACAGAGAGTTGTGTTATCAAGCAGAGAAAGAAGACATATCCATGTGCCCACCTTTTGCTGAGTTAGAAATATGTTCACGAATCTGCTTTAATCTGACTCCAACTCCCAAAGCTGGAAGCTATCAGACAGACTAGCTGCCAGTTCTCCTTGCGATGAGCAGACAGGTCCATCTCACAGGCTTTGTGGTCTTGCTTGAGACATTAGTCTTTCTGGGTATGTTTTCCCTTTATTTTTATTTTTTTGGCTACCAAGATGAGTCCAGATTTTTTCCTAATGATGCGGCCACTCACATTCCTCTCGAGCCTTCAGAAGCCACTCGGCTGTCCCACCACCCACCTGCACAGCTCCCTGGGTGTCTCTTTTGTAGCTCTACATGCACTTTATAACAGTGTTTTCATTTGCATACTGCCTGCTTCCCCCTCTCCCGCGGCAGGATGGAGAAATGTTTTCTCTCCTGTGTCCCCACCAAGTCAAAGGAGCCGCTGGACACACAAGTCTCCAGGGGGATAAAAAGCCACTCAATGGTTCTCTCCCCACTAATCACTCCACCCCCTCCCTGGCCTCTGCAAGAGGGAGGGTCAGAGCAGCTTCCGCCACTGGCCCCGAAGGGAAGTGAGAGGAGCCAGGGACTTGATTAGGAAACCTGGCACCAGGCAGGAAGGCCCACTAATGAGCACCAGGGGACGGCAGGGAGGGCGGGGCTGGGGTCCTTTCACAGGCGGCTGGGATGCTCGTCAGGAGGCGTGATGGATGACTGTCATTTGGCAGCCTCAGGATTAATGATCTGGAGGTCAGAGGGGAGAATTCCGCAGGGAAGGGTCACCGTCCAGGGCAGGGTATGAGACTTGTTGCCTTTTGATGGCAAACTCCTTTTACTGTACACAGGCTGCTCTCCTCTGCCTTGGCCCCCTCCCACTGCCCCAGTCTTGCTGAGGTCTCACTGCCTGCCTGGTGGACGGTGAGCCAGCTTGATTTTCGAGAACTGCTGTTTATTTCAGCTCTTCCTGCTTCTTTCCCCTCAAGGAATGCCATTTTCTTCCTAGCCCTGAAACACTGGCCTCATCAACTCTTTTACAGGATAATGCAAGCCAGAGGCACGAAGAGCAAACAGCCTGAGCATGAACATGTATGTGGAGCTGGATGGCAGCACCAGGCCTCTTTTCTAAGTGTGGGGAGGGGGCAGGAGGTCTGGAAGAACTTTTGTCTTGATCAGCTGGTCCTTAGAGGGTCAAAACAAAGGGGTCATAGTGTTAGATCCAAAGATTCACAGGTAAAATATGCAGAGGACTGTGGGGACACTGCCAAGACACATAGTTTGTGTTGGTTCACTTTTTCTCCCTGTGTTCTGGACAGTGAACCTGATTCCGGACGTAAACACGAGAGCCTGGTATGGCAGAACTGGTCTCCTGGAAGGACAGGGCTAAGGTCCACGTCCTTCGGGAGGTCTGTCTGCCGAAGCACACTCATGGCCAGGCGAGTTCACACCCTCATGGCATCGCCCAGACTCTGGAAGGACCACTCCCAAGGCCCCCTCGCATTTGCAGAAGCTTCCTGGACATCTTCACAGTGACCCGTTCCCTTCCAAGTCAGAATGTTCACACTGAGCTTACCCTTATCCCCAAGCCAGCCCGTCCTCTCCCATCACTTCCTTTTCCTTCCAGCACCACCATCATCCTCTGAGGTCTTGGGCAGCACCGGCTCCTCTTCTCTCCCCTATCACCCCCCTTGAGGTTGTTAGGAGGCTCCACTGATCCTTCCTTAGAGGCACTTCTCAAACGTATCTGCCTTCCCAGCCCACGGCGGCCTCTTTACCCATGTGCTCACCCTGAGCACGGCTGCCACCACGGCCCTGGCATCCTTGTTCAACCCCTACAGACTCTTATGCCTGCCCATCCCGCCCCACAAGCCCAGTCTCATCACCTGGGGCCCCAACACCCCTTAAAAGGTTACCTACAAAGTATTTCAAGCATCCCAACAACTCACTCTCACTCATTAGCTGGGTCCCCTCATGACACTCCCCAAACCAGGCCCATTTCTCCTCCATGGTTTGTTTGGTGCTCTCCCTCATCGAGCCTAACATGACCTGCCTCTGCTCAAGTCCTCTCCATAGTGGCCTTCAGGAAGAATCTAGCTATCCTAGTTCATAGGGATTTCTTCTCTCTCCGAATTCCTGTTATGACGCCTACAAGTTCAGCAATACTTAGTCTGATCATTTTACGTATGTTCACTGGGTAGCCCAGGACGACTGTCAGCTCTGTGAAGGCAGAGACTATTTCTCCTTCACCATCTCTTAAATGTTATAGTGTGTAATAAGTTAAACTACTGTGCAGGTTGGAAAAAAAAAATGCTCCTCAGAGTCATAGCTACTAGCTCTGGGTTACCCAACTTGGAATCTCAGATGCATTTCCGTAATGCTTGCAGTGCGCCCGCCAGACCCGTCACCAGCACCAAGTCAGGTGTCTGAGGCTGACAACCCTGAACAGAAGTCACTGTCTCCTCTCAGGTCCCAGCGGGCTCATTAGGGTCACGACCCTTAGTAAACAAACTGGGGGAATGGAAGCCCAGGGTTGTTAAGGTCTTTGCGTCCAGGTCCCACGAAAAGTGGACAGGCAGCAGAAGGATGGATGGAGAGTTGGCGGGGGGGGGGGGGGGGGGGTGGTTTTGAGAAGGTAAAGAGACCATGAACACGCTCAGTGGGGTCAAAGAGAAGGGGCAGCATGTGTTAAAGAGTGGAGGGCAGCCAGGTCTGGGCCATACACAGACGGGTGCGGCTGAGTGTGTAACCAACCACGAGGCAGGGCTTGCCCAGCTGATGGGAGTGCTGTCCTCCAACCGTCACAGATGGGAGCTACGTATCTGGTTTTCGAAATCCATTTGCAAATGGCCTTCATAATTTACACGATTTTCATTACAATCTCCGATGCTGGTAAATCTTCAAACGTAAACAGTGTATTGCACTTTTGGACACGGTCATTTATGGAGGCAAGCCAGGAGAATGGAAAGTGACCAAGCTGTTTATACTGATTTTGTTTGAAGATGAGGTGTAGCTATGAACCATGAAAGGTTCTCAGGTGTAGCTCACACGGCCTCTGGAGGCTATTCCCTAGTCATCACTGGACTGTCTAGCCATTTGACATGGCTTCTTTGAGAGACAACAACATTACAGACGTAGAAATTTCATGAAAAGTTAGCGTTCTGATAGTCACACAGAATGTGACTGCATGAGGCTGAGAACTGCTCAGGGCAGGGGAAACAGAGGTAGGTATAGGAGCTGAGGCGACAAGAAAGGGGCACAGTGGCATGTGAAGTCATAGGCCGTAAATCTAACCAAAAAGTGACCTCGTCCCAGCACCCCTGGGGAGAAAGCACAGGTCTGGGATACAGCTGGCACCCTGGTGCAGAGACGAGTGGGTAAGCGGGCAGGGTGCTATCTTCCCAGAGTCTGGCCCTCGGTGAAACTGCTGAAAATAGCTCCCAGGGTAGGAGGCACCCCGATGCTGTCAGAAACAAAGCTGAGACTATTCTGAGTGCTAGCTGTAGAGGACGGTACGGTTTTCTCACACTGTCCAGACAATCCATACACAAAACCTGCGCTGGCTTCAAGACAAACGACAGAAACAGGACCCTCAGACTGGTCTGTCTCTGCAGGCTGCCCTGTGCTTAACGGACCCGGCAGCCATCTCCCTTGCCTCAAGGAGGCTCAGCTATGAAGAGAGATGGGGGAAGGCCTTGTAGTGGAGTTTACCTTCTGAACAAGAAAGAGGACCAATATATCATACTGGGGAGTGGGGATGAGGGACTGACATACTCGGGTCTCAGTGTCTCCATCTGTGAAATGAGGAATTTGGGCTAGATGCCTTTCAGTCCTATGAGTCTATGAATAAAAACTGAAAACAAAAATGGATAGTTGTGATTATTGCCGAAGGGAGGGTGAGTTGGTTTTAGGAGCTTGCCTGAATTATGGAATAATGTTGCCAAGTGACTTTAGGTGGATGGTTTAGGAACTTGTCCTATGGAGGGCCCCTGTGTGGCTAAGGACCACGGCCATACGCTCTTCCCCCAGCCTTGCAGGGAAGAGGGGTGTCTCTGGCTTGCTCTCTGGGCTGGATTATATCTTCCTCTAAGGAGGCTCTTCACCTGGAAGGTAACAGATCTCTGTCCACAATAAGAGCAAAAACAACCTGCAGAGAACCAGGAAGGAGGCAAACGGCCTTTGCAAGAGTGCTTCGTGGGTCACTAGCGTTGGCCCTGCAGGAGGCTGAATCTCCACCCCCATCGGGCCTCCCAGAGGGGGCGTGAGCACCTGATGGGGAAGCCTGTGTACTGTCAGTCACTGCTATCAAAGCAGGAGCTAGGATTGAGGGTAATTAATCATGCTCCCTCTGACAGGAATCCAGGGCCTTATCTGTACCCCAAGAAATGCCGCTGGTCTCCAGTTCCCTCCTCAATAAAGGAGACTGACAGTTCCAACAAAGAGGGCCCTTATCAGATTTCAGCCAGGGAGCCTGAGGCAGCCCAAGGGACTACGCAGAAAAGGCTTTTATGAGGGCCAGGGACCCAGAGAGGCTGTGGGGCTCCCGGGGCTTTAACCCTTGGGTGGTGGGAATGCCGCTGGGGCACGGCACTAGCAAGGTCAAAGCTGTCATTGGGAACTTCCAGACACATGGAGCCAAAGAAAAGCTGCTCCCTGGTACTTCGCTCTCCTTCCTGCCACTCAAGACTGCGGAGATAGGGGGAAGGGGTAGGGGTGAGGGCGGAGGGAGGAGATGGCCTCCTTGAGCGCTGGAGACAAAGATGGGAGGTGGCACATCCACCCCACCACAGAAAATGGGCCTGTTCCAACGAAGACGAGACGCAGTCAGGGGCGGGGACCCCAGACAGTCACATGGCTGACTTCCCGCCCGCTGATCAGGGGTGAGGGCCCAGGACCCAGGACGTGGCCCTGCCAAGGACCCTCGCTGTTTTTTCCTGGCTTTGA